CGCAGTGGACAGGACCCGCGTGGGTTGGGAAGGAAAGCAGTGGAACTGGCTGGACCCCGCCTGGAGCAGCGTCCTGCGCCCCCTGGTTCTGGAGGAACCGCAAGCCGGAGAGGATTTGGTCCCCCCAATTATCACCCAGGCTGAGAGCGAGGGGGCGGGGGCCTTGGAGCCCACCGGACTTTTTTTTAAACCCGACAAGGGCTTTTTAACGTCACCAGATGGGGCGGGAGGTGGGGGGGTCACGCCACTCCCGCGTCCCACCTCCACGCCCGGGGCCGTGGCCCCCACATCACTGTGCAGCTCCCCGGCCCCAGCCACGCCTCCGGGGAAGCCCGTTTTTAACCTTTCATTCATTGGGACTCCAAACTGTGAGACGCGTTCGCCAAACTGTGACCCCAGACCTTGGCCCCGCCACACAGAAACCCCTGACCCAGACTGTGACATCCGACTCCTAAAATGGTCATCCGACTCCAGACTGTGACCCCTGACCCCAAACTGTGACCCGAACCCCAGACTGTGCCCCGACCAGACTGTGACCCTTGACATCAAACCGTGACACCCCCTCCTCCTCTTCCACCCTCGGTCGCTTTTCCCTACTCTGACCTAGGACACGTCCCCAACGGAAGCCCCGCCTTCCCTTGCATCGCGATGAACCCAACCTCCCTGAAGCCAAAACTTCCCGCCCTGCCGCACCTCCCGATACCCCACTTGTCACCAACCACATCCTCTCCAAATCCAACCCTTATTTGCGACCCTTCAGTGATGACCCAGCAGTCCTCCAAAAAACCTCCTCTTCCCAGATCTCCAGCCGGGTCTGGGGTTGGGTTGCGGAGGGGAGGGTCTGGGAGTCCACACTTCCCCACCAACCTCCCTTCCCACTCTCTTATTCCACATTGCAGTGTTTGGAATAAACCATGTTTTTATGCCTCCTCAGTCCAAGCCTAAGCTCCGTGTCTGTTAGCCCCCCTCAACTTCTCTGGAGGAAACAGAAACACAAAAGTCCCACAGGGGAAGAGGAGACAGAATTAGAGAGACAACAGAGGCTCTGAAAGGAGGTGGGTGGGGAGACAAAGACCAAGAAAGAGGAGATGGGAAGAGACCCTGAAAAGAGAGAAATCCAGAGGGTGCTGGGGCAGACAGAGACCCCAAGAGAGTGGTGAGATAGATCCGGGAGACAAAACATATTAGGATCAAAAGTATGGTTTTATTTCCTATGGCTATAGGCACCAAGGTTTGCTAGATTCTTAATATCCTGTTCATGCAAGCTAGGAGAGTGTCTGACATATCCCAGCCAATCCGCATTATCTTGAATGCTGTTAATCTCACCAATGAGAATCTATTTCTAACATTTCATTATGTCAATTAGCCAAACCGCTGGTGCTGATGGGCGATAAAGAGAGACGAAGCACTTGTAATAGCTGCCTCCAGAGGGTGGACTTTCTGATTAAGTGCTCGCTGACCAGAGCTGCAATGTGAATGTCTAGTTAGGCAATTGACTGCCCCTAGAGGGTAGATTGAACCGCCTAACTTACAGATAATATCCATCCTGTCTACAAGAAGGCATTTTTGAAACAAAGCCATCAAAACAGAGAGAGGAGAAGAAACCGGCCTTTTGGGTCCTCAGGGAGCAGAAACCCAATCTCCTTGCCAGTGAAAGAGCAAATTTGCGTACATGAATAATTAATTAAGTGGAAAGAACGCTCTGGGAATCAAAGTGGAAGATGCGGAAAACAGGCCTCCCGTAGAACTACAACTCCCAGGAGGCCTTGCCACTACCGCGAGGAACAGCGCCCAAAGTCACGCGAAGATGCAGTTTCTCCGTATCCGCAGGCTTTTTTCGCTGGCGCCATTACCTGAGTTCTCCTCCCGCGTTGCCGCATTACCCTCTCGAATTAGCTGTCCCTGGGGTTTCCAAGGTAACCGCGCAGGAGGGCTGATCTCATTAGGCGTAAGGCGAAACCCGGAAGTGACGCTCTTACCGGACGTCAGCAGTGAGAGGGTTCGAAGATGGCGGCGCGCAAGAGTCGGCGGCACACGTGTGAAACCGGGGAACCTATGGAAGCCGAGTCTGGCGACACGAGTTCCGAGGGCCCGGCCCAGGTCTACCTGCCCGGCCGGGGACCGCCGCTACGCGAAGGAGAGGAACTGGTCATGGACGAGGAGGCCTACGTGCTCTACCACCGAGCGCAGACTGGTAGGGCTGAGTCCGGACTCCAGGGTCCTGAGGTGGCTAATCCCCAGCCTTTAACTTGAGAGGTGCTCGGGAAGAGAAGGCTGGGGTCCAAGAGAGGATTTCACACCGGAGGCGGTTGATCCATGAGGGAGACGGGGACTGAGCTCTCACTGTCCCGTCTTAACTCGTAAACCCCTCCTTCCATCCCCAGGCGCCCCCTGTCTCAGCTTTGACATAGTCCGGGATCACCTGGGAGACAACAGGACAGAGCTTCCTCTTACACTTTACTTGTGTGCTGGGACCCAGGCTGAGAGCGCCCAGAGCAACAGGTAAAACCCGAGGCGTTTCCAGGACCAGGAGGCTCAGTTTCCAGCCCCTTCCTCAGGACCCAGGAGTTAGGGCTTCCGGTTTCTGCCTCTCGCAGACCCAGGAGTCTGGGTTTCCAGCCTCTCTCCTTCCTAAGAATCGTGGCATCTAGTGCGTAACTCACCCCACAATTTCCCCCAGACTGATGATTCTTCGTATGCACAATCTGCATGGGACGAAGCCCCCAACCTCAGAGGGCAGTGATGAAGAAGAGGAGGAGGAAGATGAAGAGGATGAGGAAGAGCGGAAGCCTCAGCTGGAGCTGGCCATGTTGCCCCACTATGGTGGCATCAACCGAGTTCGGGTAGGTGTGGTCCCAGGAACCTGCTCTGTGTACTCTGAAACACACCCGACCCGACCCCTGTGTCCCTAACTCCCAACATCCTCATGTCCTTTTTTTTTTTTTTTTTTTTTGTTTTTGAGACCGACTCTTGCTCTGTCACCCAGGCTGGAGTGCAGTGGCACAATCTCGGCTCACTGCAACCTCCGCCTCCCGAGTAGCTGGGATTACAGGCACACGCCACCACACCTGGTTAATTTTTGCATTTTTAGTAGAGACAGTGTTTGGCCATGTTGGCCAGGATGGTCTTGAACTCCTGGCCTCAGGTGATCCGCCCGCCTCGGCCTCCCAAAGTGCTGGGATTACAGGCTTGAGCTACCGTGCCCGGCCTTTTTTTTTTGAGATGGAGTGTCTCTCTGTTGCCCAGGCTGGAGTGCAGTGGTGTGATCTTGACTCACTGCAACCTCTTTTTCCCAGGTTCAAGCGATTCTCCTGCCTTGGCCTCCCAAGTAGCTGGGACTACAGGCGCCCGCCACCACACCCTTATAATTTTTTGTTTTTTGGGTTTTTTTTTTTGAGACGAAGTCTTACTTTGTCACCCAGACTGGAGGGCAATGGTGTGATCTCGGCTCACTGTAAACTCCGCCCCCCAGATTCAAGCAATTCTACTGCCTCAGCCTCCTGAGTAGCTGGAATTACAGGCACATGCCACCATGCCTGGCTAATTTTTGTATTTTTAGTAGAGACGGGGTTTCACCATGTTGGTCAGGCTGGTCTCGAACTCCTGACCTCGTGATCCGCCTGCTTTGGCCTCCCAAAGTGCTGAGATTACAGGCGTGAGCCACTGCGTCCGGCCAATTTTTTGCATTTTTAGTAGAGAAGAGGTTTCACCGTGTTGGCTAGGCTGGTCTCAAACTCCTGACCTCAAGTGATCCTCATGCCTCAGGCTTCGAAAGTCAGGGTATGTTTTATGTTCTTCACTTTTCTCTTTGGTAACATAGTGAGTTACAGAACTTGTCTGATGGGGCTGGCATGAGGTCAAATGAAATAACATATAGTGCCTAGAATAGCACCTGGTTGTATGTAATAGGAGGTATGTATTTTCTGTTACCATTCAGGAATTATTTTTGGTTGTGGCTGTTTGTTTTGTTTTTGAGTCAGGGTTTCACTCCCATTGCCCAGGCTGGAGTGCAATGGCGTGACCTCGGTTCACTGCAACCTCTGCCTTCCAGGGTCAAGTGATTATCCTGCCTCAGCCTCCCAGGTAGCTGGGACCACAAGTGCACGCCACCGCGCCCGGCTTTTTTTTATATTTTTAGTAGAGACGGAGTCTCATCATGTTGGCCAGGCCGGTCTTGAACTCCTGAACTCAACTGATCTGCCCACCTTGGCCTCCCAAAATGCTAGGAGTATAGGCATGAGGCACTGTGCCCAGCCTGTTTATTTGTTTTTTTGCTTCAAAGCTAAAACATCTTCTGATCAGGTAGACCTGTAAATAGAATGATATGGTATGTGAAGAGCACTTAGAGCAGTACTTGATTTATAGCTGGGACTGTCTGTTTCCATGAAATTATTTTTGCTATGTTTCAGTACTGTTCTAGATGCAGAGGATTTAGCAGCAAGCAAAAGGTCTGCGGCTCCATGAACTTACACACTAGTCGGGGAAGGGAACGAGATGAAACTAAGTAAATGTGTACCATGTCCAGAGGTGTTAACTATCCTGGAAAAAATTCAAAGGAAGCAGGGGAAGAGGGTTAGGGTGCTCCAGGAGTGGGTTGCTATTTTTAAACAGTGTGGTGAGGAAGTATTCAGTCATAAAATGCCATTTGAGTAGATATTCACAGGTAGTGGGGCAGTGAACCCTGGACAAGAATTTGCAGGCAAGGAAAACACAAGTTCAAAGGCTTTGGGGTGAGCTTGGCATGTTTGAAGAGTTTCAAGCGAAGCTGGGGAGTCCAGTCTGTCTGGAGCAGAATGAACAAGGAGGGACAGTGACACAATTTGGGGGGCGGGCACAGAGAAGACATTGTTCAGAGCCTTGTTGGCCACTTTAAGTACTCCAGCTTTTAACTGGGAGACATTGGAGGGTTTCCGGGCAGAGGAAAGACAGGGTCTGGCTTTTGTTTTAAAGTGATCCCTCTGGCTGCTGTTTTAAATATCAATTGCAGAGAGGCAAGGGTAGGAGGAAAGAATCCTGTGGGAAGACTTATAGTATTCAGGGCAAGGATGCCATCAGTAGTAGTGTGACAGCAATAGAGATCATGAGAAGGGGGTTGGAAGTGAGGGGTTTTGTTTGTTTTTTTTGTTTTTGAGACGGAATCTCACTTTTGTCACCCAGGCTGGAGTGCAATGGCGCAATCTTGGCTTACTACAACCTCTGACTCCTGGGTTCAAGCGATTCTCCTGCCTCAGCCTCCTAAGTAGCTGGGATTACAGCCACCCACCAGCACGCCTGGCTAACTTTTGCATTTTTAGTAGAGATGGGGTTTCACCATGCTGGCCAGGCTGGTCTTGAACTCCTGACCTCAGGTGATCCGCCCTCCTCGGCCTCCCAAAGTGCTGGGATTACAGGCGTGAACCATTGCGCCCAGCCCTGGAAGTGAGCATTCTTAGTGTAGCCAGCGTAGGTGCTGGGCATGAGGAAGAAGGGACAAGACAAGAATGAGTCCTGTAGTTTTGGGCCTGAGGTGGAGAGGGAGCAGTTGCAGGTGGCGATTAGGAGCT